ATACGCACGACCGGAAGAAGCGGAAGCGCTCGACTGTGGCATAATAAAAGCTCCGCTGCTTTACCCCACATACGCACGACCGGAAGAAGAGGAAGCGCTCGACTGTGGCATAATAAAAGCTCCGCTGCTTTCGAGCCGTGTGTCGCGCTTGTTCAGCGGCCTCGTTTCGCTTCGGCGGCTTTCAGCCTCACCCTGCTTCATTCTACTACGTTAATAAATCATTAGCTCATCCATGAACATGATTTCTCCCATGATTCCACACTCAGTCACGGCGTCATCAAACTATGCCTTTGTCTCGTTGTTTATTTTGAATACGCGCCCTCTAGTGGTGAAAATTACATATTGTGCCTTTAAATGCCAAATTATGCAGGATCACAAAATTTAAATTTTTTGATTTTGTGTTATGTTCAAAGATAGCTGAATCAAACAAAAAAAAAACTTGAGGGAATGACTTTGTTTACTTTTTTGCCCGTTCGACTCCATGGCAATCTAGCATTGTGGCAGTCACTTTTGCACGAGCCAGCAAATGTCTTTACATTTACATCAATTTACATCAAGTGACTTGTTTTGATCTCTCGCTTCTGTAGGACGTATGCTCTACGAAGGGTACGAGATGCCTTCAGGGAGAACCGGACAGTGGAAGATCCGGAAGTTGTGAAGGAGCTGCTGAACAGGGCCCGGGACAGTTTGGCCCTCATCCAAAGACAGGTACTGGTCCAAAAAATAGATGTTGTGACCTGTGGATTCTGTAGAGTATGTTGAGAAATAAGAAGAGCTGGTTGGCAACCCAGAACAACATTTTGTACACAGTTCCTTTTTTTTCCCCTTGCTGTGCAAAATCAATTGTTGTTGTTCCGCCACCGATACATATATAAATATAAAATACAATTATATTACATCAAATGAAATATTGAAATATGTATGTAGTTGAATTTTTTTATTCTCCCATTTTAATATTATTTTTGCACTACAAATTGTATTGTCAGAACAATAATCTGAGTGAAAAGTTCACATGATCAACGTCACAAATTTGCTTAGTGAGCTAGAAATGGTGCCAAAAATGATTTACTTTATTTTGTCATAACATTTATTTATTTACTTACTTGCTTCTAGTAATTTATTTACTCTTCTGCTCACCGAGGCTGCACTTATTAGATAAAAAATACGGTAAAAACTGTAATAGTGTAAAATATTAAAAAGTTTATGTAATAAATAAATATAACTATTTCCTATGTGAATATATATTAAAATGTACTTTATTCCTTTGTTGTGAAGCTACATATTCAGCATCATTACTTCAGTCTTCAGTGTCGCATGATCCTTCAGAAATTATTTTAATATTAATCTCCACTGAGACAGAACTAATGTTGCATATTTCCGCACTTAGTTTCATGCTGAAAAACATCGCCCATTCATTTATGTCTGATTTAAGAAATCTCCCAATTAATTTTTTGATCTACGTCAGACGTGGAGACCGGAAGTTACTCACAAGAGAAACCCATATGCACAATATGGTAAGAGTAAATGGAATGTGGTACGCTGAACATGTTCCAAGAAATCCAATCTATCAAAGGCCTATGGATTATCATGCTGTTTAATTTAAATGCTGTTAAAAGAACAGCCACCTTCATCAAACTTCATTCTCTCTCTGCTGGTGAACCTAATGAAGGAGTGGTGGGCTTCATCTTGTCTTCCTGTTCCTGTATAATTCACTGTATCCTCCTGAGGGCTGGAGGAAGTTGTCTTCTGTCTGTCGCAGCTCCAGATGCATATATATGAACACCTGCTCGGCTCCCACCTGTCCGCTGGCACGTCCTGTGCACCACTAATGACCGCTGATGCCTCGCTGTCCTGCACTTTGTTTCCATAATTCCACTCCAATTCAGGGCAAATCCCTAGAGAACATGATTCTTATGATTTTGACATTTTGTCTGATTTTTTTCTTCTTCTTAGTATCAGGGCCTCAAATTAACACTTACTACGTGCCAAATGTAAGTGAAAATCTGCATTGGTAAATGGCCAGTAGTTTTTTTGTATGAATTCTAACATTGCCTGAGAATCTGATATGATTTAGCTTGATTATCGAATTACAAAGACATTGTAAATTACATAAATGTGTTTTAGTTTCTCGTTTGCAGTAAATGCGAACCATCTCTGGAAGTGCTGTGATTTTGAGTCGATTTAAAATGCATCTGTCGCCAATAAAAGAGAAGCGTATCCAAATTTTCAGCAAAATAAAAGCCCTATGTTTTTAACATTTGAAAGCAAAGAAAAAAATACACACACACAATATTATGAATTACAGTTTAGTAGTATTAGTGATATTTGTTTTATGTTTTATATTTGATATTTGTTTAATAAATTCAATTAAATAATAATAATAGAAATAATAATGTTAATATTTATTATTATTAATGTTGTTGTTGTTGTTATATATTATTATTTAAAATTAAGTCATTTACAGTTCAATCAATCAATCAGTGAATCAACAATCAATCAACATTTATTTATATAGCACATTTAAAACAACACAAGTTGACCAAAGTGTTTTAAACGTCTAAAATTACTCAAATTGACACACAGCACAATATACATCACTGTTCATTGCCCCAACACCTAGGGTAGAGTAGAGGTGTGTTTTCAGCATAGATTTAAAACAGTCTTTGAGTCACAGGATCTATGCAAAGTGGGAGTATTCCAGAGACGTGGGGCTGCCACAAAGAACGCTCGATCTCCTTTTGATTTGGGAACATGTAAAAGCAAACTCTGAGATGATCTTAGAGGTGTAGCAACGCAATGATGCTGTAACAGGCATGATATGTACTCCGGAGCAAGGCCATGCAAACCTTTAAAAACCATAATCAAAACATTGCATTGGACTTAAAATCAAAAATCAACAGGAAACCAGTGCAAAGAAGCCAGCACCGGAGAAATGCTGGACCATTTCCTTGTGCCTGTCAACAGTCTAGCTGCAGCATTTTGCTCTTGCTTCAACCGTGAGAGCGGGTTCTTAGACAACCCCAAATATAATGAGTTGCAATAATCCAATCTGCATGAAATAAAAACATGAATCACAGTTATTAATTAAAAGACAAAATTATCTTCAATCTGGCAATGATCCGCAATTAGTTCAGTAGTATTATGGCGATATTAATTTGGTTAATTTTATAATTGTATTAAATAATAATAATAATTATTATTATTAATTAAAACTATTATGAAATACTTTAAATATCAATAGTAATATCGTGATATTTACTTTTTATAATTAGATTTATTATTAATAATAATAATAATTAGATGTTTCCCCCATTTGTTGTGCCTTTTTTTAATTAATGAAATAATGCGCACGCACAGTTTCATGATGTTAGCGGTCAGTTGTTTTCCCTTGACCTAGTTTTGCTTGCTTGTCTTGATTATGTCATTCTGTTCACCTGTGTATCGTTAATCATCTCGTTTGCTCCTTTGTTTTGCCTGTGTATTTATGCCCTCAGTTTCTGTCTGGTCTTGTTCCTGGGTTGTTTTGAGTTTAGTGTGTTTGGTTGTAATTCTCCTGGGGATTCTCCTGTCCTTTGTGTTTGGAATTAAAAGACTATTATTGTTTTCTCTGTCGTTGTGTGCGTTCCTACAGCCACTACCGTTACTCATGACTGTTAAGAAAAATGTATGGCCAGTAAAGTCAGCTGCTATCAGTTATAAGTATATATATATATTTTTTTTTTTAATTTAAATAATAAAATGTACAGATATATATTTGGAGCAACACAAAAGAGGGTTGAAGAAGAATAGGAGGCACTGGGATAATTTGTCTCTTGTCTCATACCAAAGGAGTTGAGCTGTTCTTTGAAACCGAATCAAAGTACAGCCTTAGAGATCAGTCCATCATGCTGTCTGCATTAAGAGCTTCTGTCACCCTGACACTCTCAGCATGGGAATCAATGAACCTAAACTTCCTAGGGAGTTAAAACACCATCTTCAATGAGAGTTAGAGAGTCAGGCTCAGAAGAGCAGCTTCACACTCTTTTGAGATTCAAGGGCCAAAACATACTCTACACAAGTGCTTGAATGTCGATGCTTTCAGCAATGCAAGCTTGATTTCAGGCTTTTCTGCATTTCCTGTTTGAAGAGAAACTGGTTGAGCAATTTAGCTAAAGTTAGTTCATCTTTAGTTGATATAATACCATTTCAGGTTTTGGCAGGTGTTTAAAAGGTAACTCGATCACCCCTTGATTACTAAGGGTTGTTACTGTCATAGTGTTTCAAGAACACATGTGTGGTCTAAATGTTAGAGACCATAAAAACATGGGATTTTTTTTAAACCTGTAAATTAACAGTACTTAAAAAAAAAAAAAAAAATTTAGGAATTATTTACGATGCTACAATGTTCCTTGTGAATATGGCCAGTGCCATTGCAGATTATTTTTGTCTGTCTGAAAACCTATATATATATATATATGAATCTACTTGATACTTTGATAACAACAATAAAGAAATAAAGATAATTAGTCAATAATAATAATATTGCTGGGGTTGTTAATAAAATATTAATTATAACAGAAGCAAAAAAAATATAATATTTTGATTTAACTTAAAGTAATAAAAAATTTGTCATAATAATAGTTGTTGTGTTTTTTTCCTATTGTTGTTATCAGTTATTATATTTATGCAGATTTGTTCTTGAGTTTTACGAGTAGTTAACAAAAGTAAACAAAATAATAATAATTATATATATATATATATAGTGGTGGCAACAAAATTGTGAGATGTAAATTTAGAATTCAGAGAGAAAAGGCAGAATTTCAAGACATTAACTCAGAATTGTAAACTTAGAATTGCAAGAAAGAATTACAAGTTTATGTCAAAATTCTTAATTTATTTAACACAATTTTGAGTTTGACTTTTTTCTCTGTATTGTGTTAAAAATAAAATCTGAATTGTGAGATGAAAATTCACAATTGCCTTTTTATTCTTTTATTCTGTGTCAGAAATGGGCTTCCATAATTTCCACTAGTGGTTTCAGACGTTTGAAGCCCACTGCATGTACAGCGAGTGTGTCAGGCGTTCACAGATGCATTTGCGTACTACTGTGGAGTGAGTTTGTGGTGTCATGGTGAGTGGCTGTGGTGTTTTGTGTGTGTGTTGTAGTGTCTTCAGCATGTCTCTGCCGGTGACACTCTAACCAGTGCAGCAGTCATCATGCGCTCCGTTGACTCACACACATCACAGCATACGGGCTGCTGGAGGAAGCCAGACCCACGCCTCTCTCTGTTTCACGCACATACTGTACGCATAACGTCCCGTTGTGTGTCGTGACACCGCCAGCATGCGTCCCGCCCTCTGCTCACTCCCACAGCCCAGACTGGAGCACATTTATGTCTTCAGCTCTTCTCTAAGAGTGTGGATCTCCTCCAATCCGTGAGTCACTGCTGCCCATCTACTCCTGCTCAGATGTTCTTTTATGACACTCACTGTTTGCTGTGCACTCTCAATAGCTCTGTTCTTTTTATAGATGGCATACTTTGATCTTAAGTGGTTTGTCCTATAAGACCATAAGGACGAATCCGGTTTCCGTGAGTTTTTTATGCTAATGTCTCTTTATTAGAGGAAATTTTATGGTAAAGTCATGTTGTGCAGTATTAATGCTGTCTGTAGACACCAAAGCTGAACTATAAGGATATTTTCTGCTGTGGTTCCAACATAGTTCAGAT